AGCCGCAAGGGAACCTGCCACGCAAACACAGGGGTAGCGGGAACAGACTCCACCTCTTCGTGGGGGCAATGGCCAGGTTCTGGAAGAGCACCGGGGACTGGAGTATGGCTGTGTCCATTTCTGGAAACACAGTCTGCCTCAGTGTCCATTGTGTGGGAGTGCCTGGAGGCAGCAGCATCCTTTGACTGTAGCTCACTCTGTCACCAGATACGACGTCCACTGGTCTCCAGGGCCAACCTTCTGCTGTTCCAGGAAAGGCTGCCTTCTCACCGTGGGCACTGAACATTTCCCCTCCTCTTGGCTTCTGCTGTCCTACCATCTTTCCAGGCTCAGCCACACCACCTCCCACGCCTTTCCTGGCCACTCTGAGCTTTCATTCCCCGCGTCCCTGGTCCAGCCCTACATACACTTGCTTCTACTATGAGTTCATTTTCTTGCCTGTGTGTTGACCCCTCAGCGAGACAGTAACCCCTTGGCGTCTCTTACCCTGCCTGACCCAGGGTGGGCCTTCCAGAATTGGCTCTTGATTTGCTTACGCATTCATTCCATCTCTGTAAGTCAGTCACCAGGGGTTACCCACCAACACGGAAGGAAACGGCAGCTCTGTGACCTATTTGAAAACGCGCCATCTCATCTGAATGCTGGGTTGCCCTTCAGAGACAAGCAGATAAATGTCAGATTTGTCTTCTTGCTTTTCTGACCTTTGTGGCATCGTGGCTTCGTGCCTCTGGGGATGAGAAGGGCTGGCTGTTTCAGGGTTGCTTAGAATTAAGCATGCGCAGCACTGAGGCACGCAAGTCTGGGGGTGGTGAACGAGAGACAGGCGCTGGGAAGGGTCGGAGTGGCTGGACCCTGGGGGGCTCCCCTCACTGTCTGCCTTTGTGTGGGAGAAAAGTAGATGGTAGGAGAGTGGAAGAAATGACCATTTCAAGTTGCTCCAAGAACTGGGAGTGGGTGGGAATAAAGTCACTATCAGGGCAAGCTGGAGTTAGGGAAGTCAGCGCTCTCTGCTCAGAAGGAGTTTAAAGGTCCCTCCAGCAAGCCCCCCAGCTCTGTCTGCTGTCGTGCATGTGAATTCTCCCAGGTAATTTCCACTGACTTATTGAGGCTTGGGTTTCTCTGCCGGTTGAAGGGTATGCCTCTTTCTTAACCTGAAAAGCCCACCGGGGAGAGAATCTCATCTCTTTGCTTAATAACCCTGCTCCCAGCTGTCTTCGGTAATGTTCCTCCCAGGACTGTCTCTGTCGGTGTGGCCCCTGGGGTTGCAGCCAATCCCCATCCAGAAGACATGGAGAATTAATTCCTCCCTAAAATAAGGTGGGTTCTGAATGTGGCGGGTCCTTTGCTGTCAATGTCTTAGACACACATCTGGCCGGCCGTGGAGGCAGGCGTAGGGGACGCTGTCCGTTCTGTTGCCATGACACCAGGCAGTGTTTCCATAACACAGCCTTCCCGCTTTCTGGGCAAGCCAACTTGGACGGTTTGCCCTGCATCGTGCTAGTCAGGATGGAAAGGGATCAAGGGTCCTTGGGATTGTGATTCTGATTTTTGCATGTGGAAGTTTGCCTCTGGCTCTAAGCAGGCTCCAGATCTAAAGGGGATGAACCCAAAGGAAGACACGGAGTTGCTGGGAAGGTGTTGAATGAATGCTCCACCTTCTCTCCTTTGCTTTGCGGGGCGTGCTGAGTGTGTCAGCGGCTGGGATTCGCGGGTCTCGGAGCTGCAGAGAGGTGAGCAGGTGGCGGCTAAGGGCTTGCAGCTTCAAGAGTTCAGCCTTTTCTATGAAAGAACAGAAAGGAATTCAGGAACTTACTCTAAACTTGAGTTTAAGGAGGTCTTTTTGTTTCAGCAGTGGCAACGCACCAGCCACGGGGAGCTTGTGCGCACCACCGAGAAGCGGCTTGCCTCTGTCGTGACTGGAGCGTGGAGAGGATGGCTTGGAATCCACATGCGGGCTCAGATCTTATTTAAATCAGCCATTTTTTTTACTAGAATATCGAGTATCCAGGGAAGAAAATTCACTAACTGCGTTTACTTAGAACCAGAAAAAACCTTGACTTCAGCTGAGAGGGGTCCTCCTGCTGGTGACTCTAAGAATGTGCGGGGCTGCCGGACCTCCACAGCCACCTCCCCCGCTGCCCTAAGGGACAGGCTGCCCCTTCCCAGTGTGCCAGCGTGTCCTCTTCCCCAGGTTGGCCCCATCTCACCATTCCTCCGTCAGTCCTCGTTGGCTTCCTCATCCATCCGAGACACCACAATGGAGAGGATGTCTGAATGTTTTTGTCCAAACCTTCCCAGCTGGTAAAGTGTGAGACGATTGTCTGTTTCTTTTCTTGTCTTCCCTCTTAGATAGTAAGTTCCTTGAGGACAGACATCATTCTTGCCCATGTATGTGGCCCCTACTGACACATTTGTAAGCACATAGTAAGCCCAGGGTAAAAATCTGTTTACGCAGCTTAAGTCAAACATCTTAATGTTCTCAACATCAACCCGCAAGCCAGGGTGCCATTTCCAAATCCCTTAACCTGCCAGGAATATTTTTGGTGACCATACAGATGATTTTTCCCCCTGATACCCAACTCTTCCCATAAAATAAATGGGATAATAATTTTGTAAATCTGTAAGCAATATTTACTTCTTTTCTTTCCTTTTTCTTTCTTTCTCTCTCTCTTTCTCCGTTCCTTCCTTCCTTCTTTCCTTCCTTCCTCCCTCCCTCCCTTTCTTTCTTTTTTTTTTGGAAATATCTTTCTACACGTGTATTTAGATAGGATATCCCACGCACGCCGGTGCAGTGAACACATTTTTTTTCCACTGAAATAGCACCGTCCTGGCTCATACATACAACTCACATTCCTAGGAACATCTTATTTTAAAAAAATAAGAACACATAACATGGGCTCTACCGTCGGCCTTACTTACTTCTTACTCCAGGGCCCCAGACACCGAGGTTCTTCCCACTGTGACACTGCAAAGAGAGAGTTTAACATCTCAGCAGTCACGTCTCCTTCAATTAATTGAGGAAGGTCTAAAGATCTTCATGGGGCGGGGATGATGATTAATAAAGTCCTTCCGTGTGTCGCACTGAAGTCTGTATTAATGCAAAGTCAGTCTCCGTTCCTCGTTCACGGCAATGTTAACTGCGTTTTAAGGACAGCTGGTGGGGCTGGAGGAAGAACCGCTGCCAGGTTCTGTTTCACGTAAGTGAAGAAAATCAGATTTAAATAATGAACGACACTCCGAGAGCCGTGAGGCTTCCTGGGGGAGAAATGACTGCCCCCAGGGCCTCAGCACGAGGCCCCCGGCGGCGTAAGCAGGGGTGAGTTTCATAGCAGCCAAGTGACAGGAAACGTGCTTTTAATTATCACTTAAGCTGCGCCCTGTCAGAGGGATTAGTATCTCCTGTTTTTAATGAGAACTGATTTTCAGATTGCATTACCCAGAAAGCCCAGGATGGCGGAAACCCCCAGTGCCTTCTCGAGACCGTCGGTCACCACGTTTCGGTATCGGCAGCCCCCAGACATCCGATCTGCGCACCAGCGGTCCAGGCAGAGAGGCTGGCTTGTTAGCCTTAAAGTGACTCTCATGAATGAGGTCCTACCACGCTGAGCCTGGCTCACGAGTTCCGCTGCAAAGTGAGGGAGCCCAGGGAACATGAATTAGGAGTTGAATTTTTCGCTGTGGTCCATGGGCCGGCCTCGCCAGTGCAAGGGCACCGTGCAGAAACCTTGTGTTGATGGGAGAAGCACCTCTGTGAGCGATGCCTGCCTCTGGCTACATCTTCCACTGATCTCCTCACCTTTTCTGAAACAGTCCAGTGAGTCCCGGAGAGGCACGCTGGGTGTGGATGTGCCGAAACTCAGCAAGAGGAAAGAAAAGATGTCTGGTTACCCAAGGGTTTCCCAAACTTGTCATTCATATACCACGTACCACCTTCCTGTTTTTCTGACCATAAACTGGCACTGCCTTTACAGTGATTTACTTAATATTTTCCTTTAAGCTCGCTTGGTAAACTTTATGAGTTTACTTGGCAAAGAGCACTCAAATTCATACTGTAAACAGACCAGTCTCACTGGTTTGCAAATAAAACTTTTTCAGTTACAGATGGATATTTGTTGCCTGCTGACGGTTTGGCCTGTGATTTCTTTGTTAGAATGGATATGTGAGAGGGGCTGCAGGCTTCGGAACACGATCTGGGACCTTCTCTTTTTCCTTGTCAGAATCAGAAAGGCTGAAAGAGACGTGATGGGGAACTCTGTTCTCACTATTAGATACCATGTGATTGCTGTTTACAGATAAAACCTAGAAGCATGGTGATCTGTGTCCCCGACTGGGAAATAATGACATAATCCATGCTTAGTTACGTTGGAAGATGATATAGAGGGAAAATGAAGGAAGATAGAAAGAAAGGAGACATAAAGCGACAGCAAGCGGGCGATACTTTGTTGATCAAAGCATTGCTTCTCTCCATTACGTAGGAAACGCAGTTCTGAAAAGACAGACAATCAGAGTTACATCGCCCCGACTCCCAGCCCCTCTCTGTTTCTGTGTTCAGTGCCTCCCACGTATAAGACACCATGGGGTGAGACACTGGAGCCACGAGGACAAAGGATCCCTGTCCTCGGGGGCTTGTCTCTCGCTCCATAAAAGCAGAGTGGTGTGTGGACAGCTGTGGGGTTGACTTGGAAGTCACCCAAATCGGATTCTGGGGGACCAGCAGCAGGAGTGGGGAGAAAGGGGTCACTGGGGTGGCGTCTTCATGGACCAGGCTGCTACCGCGTGTAATCACAACCAAACCAGAACACAACGTGACAGCTGCTCAGGTCCCCTGACTTCCTGGGCGAACGAGCGAGCCTCGTTCCCTGCTTCGCTGTTTTACTGACTTCATCAAAGGGAAACATCTGCGCTGGTCACCAGGTGGCACCGGTCATTACAGTTCCCAAGCCCGGAAGTAGTGATGTCTCAGTTAGAAGCTGAGCTTTGAGTTCACCAGAAATTTCACTGAACGGCCTGACTGACACCCATGATGCCCCCAGGGTGCAGATTGGTCAGTGTCCTCCCAGGGGGCTCTCCCCAAGCCACTGCCTGGGCTGGGCAGTCCCTCCTGGACTTGCTGGCCGTGGTGTTGGAGAAGGTGGCCCCAGCATTGTTCCACTCATCCGAGGCTGGATCACGGTAAAAATTCAGGTGACTTTTCTGGCAGTCCTGCGGGTAGATGTCCAAGGGAGTGGTGGGGTTTGGAGTCAGCAGAGGGGTGGGGTCTGGCCAGCTCTTGGCTACTCAAGCACTGATTCTGAGGATTCAACCAGCCACTCACGTTGGAACCATTCCTCTGGTTCTCCAGGCGAACATAAACCAGTCCATTTTAGGCATCTTGAAGCAGTCTTGGCACAACACAGATTCGGGCATAAAATAAACCCTCAGGAGGGTTCCCTTGGGCCTGAGAGGATTTTGTAGATTGATGACATATCTCCGTGATGTCTGTTGCCATGAAACATCGAGAGTTGTCTCTGCTTGATTTCAATTCACTGTCCCCAGAGTGTTACTCCTTCCTTTGCCATAGCTAATCACGAGCTCTATGCTTAATAATATTTTTTCTTTCACATTTTCCTGACAATGGGTACGAACATAAGTGTGCCCTGGGTGTGTGGGAGCTGCCAGCGCTGCATTCCCGGCAGTGGCCTAATTACCTAAGGCGTCAGTGATGACTCAAGGCGGGGGCTGCTTTGTAGAGAAATTCAGTTGCTTGGTTATTTATTGGATAAGCAGTCATCTTTTTTGAATATTTAGTGCATGCTAAATATTGCCTCAGATTTTCTCCTTGATTCTTCTCAACTCCTGGGAGGCAGCCACGAAGGTCTCCATCTGACAAAGGAGGAAACTGATGCTTTAGAGGAATTCGTGCAGCTTCCCAAGGGCACACGGCCAGTTCCAGCCCAGGGAGGACCCGGAGCTGTCACTGCTGGCTGAGTACGCGTCTCAGTCTTACACCCTGGCCTTCGTGGAAGTCAGCTAGACATTCACTGGACGGGGACGTTGGCCGTTCCCTTGGTCACAAGCAGAAAATCCAGTACTATAGGATTCTGGGGACCCAATCTTTCTCTGAATGTTGGCTAAATATCCAGGATCTCACTTCAGAGAATGCGTTTTCCTGCTGTTGACTGACGCGGCTGACTTAAACGGTCACAAGAGGTGTTTTATTCCTTATAGATCATCTCCTGGAAATCCGTCTCTTTTGAAAACATTTTTCCCCCAAAAAGGACTCCTCCCCCAAAAAGATTAAAAATATCAAATTAAAAAGAAATTCATTCTTTGTTGTCTTCGTGTTTTCCAAGCTTTTCATTTTTCTAACGGTGAGTAGGTATTATTTTGCAATCAGGTAACAACTGTGCTTTTGTTTATAATGGAAGGCAGAGGGCTAGTAGCCCATCTGGCAAAGGGCACGAGAGGGGCTTTGGCCGCTGTGTCCACTCGGATCTCTAGTAACAGCCGTAAGCTGCAGTACTCACGTGCCGAATACTCATAACAAATGTCTTCTGGTGGCCAGTTAGGCCATTTCTTAGTATCTTTGTGTTTGTTTTTATTATTATTAGAAAGTGCCAAGTGGGGGAGGGTACAGCTCAGCGGTAGAGCGTGTGCTTAGCATGCACGAGGTCCTGGTTCCATCCCCAAAATCTTCTCTTAAAAAAAAACAAAACAGGTGAGAGAAAAAACTTTTTTAAATAAAATAAGTAAAAGAAAGTGGCAAGTGATATCTTCTCCGTGTAAGTTTGCAAATTTATGTGAGTTTATGAAATAAATTCATGAAAGTAAAACAAAAAAAAAGACACAGATGTGTAATCTGGGAGGCTCTCTTGGCTCCTGAATGATTGAGAAGGTGCATCCTTCCCTCCCCCTCCCCCTCCCCCTCCCCATTCAAGCTTCCTCCAAACTCTAGGAATGGAACAGAGGTTCCTGGAGCAGAAACAGCTGGGGGCAGTGGACACCGGCAGCAGATCAGACAGAGATGACAGGGAGTTCTACTCTGACCATTTTTTAAATGCATAATTCAGTGGCATTAAATATATCCAGGGACACTGGAGATGCTGAGGTCAGCACACAAGTGTGGAATCCACCAAGAAGGAGGCCACCTCTGTCTCCAGGCCCAGAAACGGAACCGTGAGGTGTTTCTGAGGCCAGCTTCTCAGCGGCCACCTTCCCCAGCCTCTGGTCACGACCACAGCGGCTGGATCCGCAGCCCTGCTGGACTGGGTCCTCCTGCTGGCCGTCTCCTCTTCCCCTTAGCAGGGTCCCCTCCTGGCTGGGCACCTTCCCCTGCAGACCCCAACATGTCATCATACCAGTACTGACCTGCCTGATCTGAGCCTCCTGTGGCCCCTCTGGGGAAGCTCAAAGCCCCTCCCCGGCTCCCAGCAGCCTGGCTCCCCGCACCCCTCCCGCACCCTCCGCTCTCTGGGGTGCTAAGGTTTCCCGGCCTGGCGGGGACCAGGTGGGTGCGGGGTTTATCAGGGTTCATCAGACTGTCTAACAGCAGGCGCCGGGCTGCCAGCATCCAGGAGACTTGGATTTCAAACATTTTCCCTGCTCAACACCTCGAGGCCCTCTCCCCTCGCCTCCCCTCCCCTCCGCACATAATAAGCCCCATTCTTTCCGCCTGGGACCTCCCTCGTGGGGACGCCGTGGCTCTGCTGAACCTGCCAGCAGTTCTCCCCTGTTCCCGCCCATCCGTTCAGTTGAAATCCTAGCCCTCGGGGGAGAGGGGCGCCGCGGAGCCGGCCCCTGCGAGGGCGGAGTGAGCTGATGAGGCCGGCCTGGCTGCTCAGGCTGCGTGAGCGTCCGCGGGTCGCTGGGTCTTAGCTTCCACCCTGACCCTAGAAGCGAGAAAGCAAAGGCTTGCCTCTCCCCACCTTGCAGGGAGGTCCTGGCGTTTGTCTCAGCGTGGAAGTCCTGCGGAGGAAAGGAATTGAAGAGCTGATGGGAGAAAAGAACCACAACGCTGATAACAAAAATTCTAGGTGTTGTGCCTAGAATAGGCTCTGCTCCCTTAAAGGGATGGGCAGCTGGGAGCAGGCCAGGGCAGTGAGGGTCATTTAAGGACCCACATTGGATGAATTAGGCTTAAATCACAGCACAGGGCGCTCAGGCCCCCTGAATAGACAGCAAAGCCCCTCTGCCCTGGCTAGCTTTAGGAAGAAATCTACCTGAGGGCTGGCTGGCTTGCTTGCTTGCTTGCTTGCTTGCTTGCTTTTTTTTAAGGGAAAAAGATTTTGTATTTTAGATTTCATATTTTCACAGGTGCTCAGACAGCTCCAAAGCTGTTAAGCATCAGGGGCTGGGGTCCAGCAGGACTGCTCTACACATGCCGTTCTGCGCCGAGGCTCTTAATTTCACTCCAAGAGGCTTTGCACATTCACACACGTCGCCCAGCACACGTGTTAACCGCTGTCAACCGCGGCACCCACGTGCCCATAACGCATGTCTTCCGGTGGCCGTTTAGGCCACTTCTCACTGTCTGCGTGTTTGTTTTTATTATTATTAGAAAGCGGCAAGAAGGGGGAGGGTATCGCTCAGTGGTACAGCGTGTGCTTAGCACCCATGAGCTCCTGGGTTCCATCCCCAGTACCTCCTTTTAACGAAAAAAAAAGTGAGAGAAAAAAATTATTTTTAAATTAAAAAAAAGAAAGTGGCAAGTAATATCTTCTCTGTGTAAATCTGCAAACTTACATGAGCTTATGAAATAAAGTCATGAAAGTAAAACAAAAAAAGACAGATGTGTGATCTGGGAAGATTTCTTTTGGCTCCTGCACGATTAGGAAGGTGCATCCTTCCCTCTCCCCTCCCCTTCCCCATTCACGCTTCCTCCAAACTCTAGGAATAGAGCAGAGGTGCCTGGAGCAGAAACAGCTGGGGGCGGTGGGTGGACACGGGCGCAGATCAGGCAGAGGTGACAGGACCTAAACTCCTTGTGGATCTCAGGCCAGGAAGTGAGGGTCCCCCAGAAAAAGGGCATGGAAGAAAGGCGGAGCAGGGGACAG